CCATTTTCCACGGCAGAGACATGCAGGGCATATCATTGTTACTGACCTTCTTTCTGATCCTCAAATATCAGACAGTCCCACCTCAAGGCCTTTGCACTTGCCTTTTCCTCCACCTGGAACTCCCTCCCTCCCAGCTTTCCCACAGCTGGTCCCTTCTCAGCCTCTCAGCCCAGACGGGCCTCTCTGGTGAGGCTTCCTCCGCCTCTGGCTGAACTTGCCCCTGACCCCGCGCACTACCCTGTCTTATCTTCCTCTCGGCACTCATAGCTATTGCAATGCCACTGATTTATTGCTATTTAGAGGAAGTGCCCTGGAATCAGGAAACTTACCAATCTCGTCCATTTCTGATTCTCTAGTACCTAATACAGGGCCCAGCACATAGTAGGTACTCAAGACATAATTCCTGAATAAATACATGAATGAAACTCAGAGGGTAGGGGGACTAGCTGGAGGAAGCATTTTTGATATTACAATATATACTTTTATATGGGACATTTTATTGAAGTTTGTGTTGGTAGGTTTTGTTCTGTTTTGGGTTTTTTGTTTGTTTGTTTTTTGAGGTATAATCCACATGCAGTAAAATTCACCTTTTTCACATACAGTTCTGTGAGTTTTGACAAGTAGATACAGTCACGTAACCACCACCACAATCATGACATACAACATGGCCAACACCCCAAAAAGTTCCCATGTCCTTTTGCAGTCGATCCCCACCCTCGGGCCCCAGGCCTTGGCAGGCACAGATTCTGACTTTTCCGGAAAGTCATATAAATGGAATGACAGTATGTAGCCATCTGAGTCTGGCAAATTTCACTCCGCATAATATATCTGAGTTTCGTCCATGTTATTGCACGCATCAATAGTTCATTGCTTTTTATTGCTGAGTAGAGCCCCTTGGATGGATGGACCACAGTTGTTTCTCCATTTGCCAGTTCAGGTCCCTTTTTACATAAATAATGCAGGAGAGAAACAGGCCTGAGCAGATCTCCATGGCCCCTGAAGCTGTTCATCCATCAACATGCATCTGTTGTCTGTCGGGGACAGCCTGCCTTCCTCCTCCAGCCCCTGCCTGTCCAAGCTCCTTTCCTTTCCTTCAAGACCCCTTTGAAATGCCCTGTCTCCAACAAAGAGCAGGATTTACTGATCCCATGTCACAGATTTGTGCAGTGAGGCTCTGAGAAATGTAGCACTCCCCAAGGGAACACAACGAGAGTGTCGCAGAGCCAGAACTCAAACCCAGGGCGGAGGGGAGAGAAACGGTAGCCCAGGGACCAAAGCTCAGCCGCTTTGCAGCTGGAAGGTGGTGAGAGGTCAAGCCCCTGTACCCCATCTCAGGCCTGAGAATTTGCCAGCGTGAGGGTGATGGAGAAGGGGCAGGTCTAATCCTGGGATGGGTGGGGCCTGGAGAACAGTCCATCCCATCCTGGGTGGGTTCCTCCATCGGGACCTTTCCCTCACCCTTCAGCTGCTGCCTGAGCCCTGGACCAAACCCAACTCCCATCCCCCAGGCCAGTGTTAGTCCCCAGAGCCCCAGCCTGGCCAAACTGGGCCCATCTGGCCTGGATTATCCGTTCCAGGGCCCATGCGGGTGGGCGGGTGTGGCAAATTGGGTGATGGGCTCCAGCTGCGGGTGGCCTTTGCCCTGCCCGGCCACTTGCAACCACAGGACAGTGGGGGACAAGTGAGGATGCTTAGGGAGCTCCAGTCACTCACAGTGACCCTAAGCTACCCTGGTCACCAGCCCAGCTCTGCAGACCTGGGGAGGCCCCTGGGCAAGGAGTCTTGGAATCTAGCCTGCCAGGGGTGACACTGGGAAAGACTTCTGGGCCTCAGTTTGTCTGTCTGCAAATGAGAGCCTTGGGGGAGATGCCTGGGAAGGTCTCACCTCAGGAATGAATTCGCTGTTTGACCACCTGGAGCAGGTGCTCAGGACCTGGGAGTCTGCATTTGAATCCAGGTTCTAGGAGGTTCATGGCACATGGAAAAGCCTGAGACCAGACTCAGTATAGCTCTGCTTGCCCTTTATGCACCCTGGTGGGCCCAGCCATTAGACTGTCCCGGGAGCTGGCTGGAGGGGTTAGAGGTGAGGGCACGAGAGGCAGACTGTGGAGATGATGGTAGCTGGCCCAGGCTAAGGTGAGTGAATGGAGTTGAAATTCACATAGGGATCACAGTGGGCAAAACTTACTAGTGGGTGGAGTGTGGCGGGTGAGAAAAAGAAAAGTTAAGACTGAGGTCTGGGTTTGGGGCTCCAGAACCGGGCAGGTCATTTACTGAGACGGGGAAGACTTGGGAGAACCAGGTGGGAGTTGCAGGGATGGGGCAGAGGAAGCTGAGGACTCAAAAGTTCCACGTTGGACGTTCTGTGCTTGAGATGCTCACTGGAAACCCGTGCGGAGATGGCGCGTTGGTGGGACATCCATGGGAGAGGCTGAGCCGGAGACGGTGACGCCCCTTCGGCATGGGGGCTGGGGAAGTCCCAGGGCCGGTTCAGCACCTGGGGCAGGGCCTGATGCATTTGCAGCCCCGGACCCTTTGGCATCTGGTCCTAGGTGAAGCTTGAAGATCCTTTCTCAGAAATGCATAAAATAAAAGCATAAGCACACAGGTAATATTGAAATTATAATCACGATGTTAAAAATAAAATCTGTGACAAAGTTGTAGCATTATCCACTGGTGGGTTTAATAATGTCCATAAGTCCAAAGTCATGCTGAGTAAAAACAATATTTTAAGATATTACACCAATGTGTTGTGATATGAAAATATCTGTGATTTCTATTAGTAGTAAGTTGGAGGACCTGCCAGTATGTCTGTGGTTTGTACCTAAGCTCTCATAACTGAAGGAAATACCAACTTTTAATGACAAGTTAGTGGACAAAAAATGTAATTTTTTTCTCACCGAAGTTCATGGACCTTGTAGTCCCCCACTGAGGACCCCTGACCCAGAAGAGACCATACAGGGAGACCAGAGCCCCCAACACATAGGGACCTGTAAAGGGGGAGTGAGAGGGAGTTGGCTGGGGCTGGAGGAAAACCAGGAGCAGGTACATCGGGGAAGTGCCTCCAGCAAAAGGCAGGGGCCATCAGGTGACCGTTGCTGAGACGTCAAGTGAGATGAGGACACAAAAGCGTCCCTGACAAGGTGAATTACAGAGCGAATGGGCTTCCCGGGGCTGGAGAGATGTGATTGGGGGTGCACAGGAGGATGAGCATTATGGGTTGTTTTTTCTTTATATTTATACTTTTTTGTACGTGTGAAATGTACCATAATTATATTATTAATGTTGTCAGTTTTAAAAAATAGTGAGGGTGGGCGTGGAGGTGAGAAGATAACAACGTGTGGTAGAGGTTTTGTGTCGAGGGGAGCAGAGAGAATGGGGGCGCAGCCGGAGGGCTGTGGGGTTAGTGTCTAGATGGGAGCCGTTAGCCGTGCGTGTGTGCTGCCGGCACAGTGGGCAGGGGGTCTCTCAGGCCCTCAGTCTCCTCTGCCATCTCTACACCAAAGACTCCCCCACCTGAGCAAGCATCGCATCAATTCAGCAGGAGGGAAGGCTGGGTGTCACCCCAGGTTTCTGGTCCGATAGGAACCTGGAAGTTCACATTTCTAACAAGCTCCAAGCTGATGCTGATCAAAGGACCGCACTTTGAGAAACGGGACTCTAACCGGTAACAGCACCGCCCGTGAGCACTCCCCCAGGATCTGACGGTGGAACAGCCGAGGTGGGAGAGGGGAGGAGAGATGAACTGCCGGGGCCTGGCCCCAGCCAAGACCAACTCTTCTCCCTGGGGAGCATCACTCTTCCCTGGGACCCTGAGAGCAGCCCTGCCAGACCTCCTGGAAGACTGAGAGGGCAAGGGAAGGAGCCAGGGATGAGATGGGGCTGGTGGTGAGAGGCCAGAGTGTGAGCCAAATGGGGAGGGATCCGGCTCTCTGCCCGCAGGCACGGGGCCCTGAGAACACACTGTTCACCTTGATCCTGGTGTCACGCCAGGCCAGCTTCTCTTGCTTTCGGGAAAGAGAGCAGCCCTGTCAGAGAAATGAACATTAGCACGTGGGATCGCAGAACATCAGAACTGGAAGAACCCCTGGAGATTGGCCAGTCCAGCCCCATTTGGCAGATGGCGGGCCGGAAGATAGAAAGTGCAGCTTGGCTGATGCACTGCAAGCTCTCGTACGAGGGAAAGATGTGTGCCCACGCCCTGCTGCTGGCTCACCCCGAGAAAGCTGGGCAAAGGGCATGCGTGTGGGCCATCTCTGACCCATGCTGCTCCCCTTTCCCATCGACTCAGTGAACGTGTTTCCTGAGTACCCACTGTGTGCCATGCATTGGCTAGACACAGAGATAAAGTGGTGAGCAAGACCAAGTCCTTGGTGTCATGGAATTGGCATTCTACAGGGTGAGACAGACAATAGACAGATAAATATGTAGTACGAAGTCGGGGAATGGTAAGTGTTATGAAGAAATCAGAAATGACATGAAGGAGCAAGCCATGCGAATGCGGTGGGGGCTGGGGGGAGTGTTCCAGAGGGAACAATGAGAGAACCATAGGTGCAAAGGCCCTGGGGCGGGAGCAAGCTCGCTATGTTGGAGGGTTGTCATAGAGGCACTGCATCAGTAGCGGAGTAGGTGAGGCAGAGAGGAACAGGAGAGGAGATGAGGGTGGCGATGGGGGCCTGGTCAGGAAGCAACCTGCAGTCATGGCCGCTCCTCTGTGGGAGACAGGGACCCTGGGAGGGTTTTGAGCAGAGGAGGGGTGTGACTTGACTTAGGTTTAACGAGATCCCTGAGTAGGGGATGAATTGTGCAGGGGACAGGGTGGAGGCAGAGAGGCCGGGGAAAAATCTCCTGGGTCAGTCCAGCCCTGAGGTGATGGTGGCCTGGCATGTTCCAAGCCAGAGGCCTCCCTTGGCTGCTCTGTGCCCTTCCGTGGAGAACGTGGGAGGGACAGGAGGCCTCCCCAGCCTTACCCCATGACCTCAGCCCACGGTCTCCCGCAGCTAGAGAGGTACATCCAGATGAACTTGAGGTCGGAGCTGGCGCAGGCCCAGCAGCACATGGTCCAGAACCAGACGGCCACCATGCTAGAGCTGGGCACCAGCCTGTTGAACCAGACCACCGCCCAGACCCGCAAGCTCACCGACGTGGAGGCTCAGGTAATGGGGGCGCACGCGTGAGGCTGAGGGGCGGCTGGCCAGCCTGGCTCACAGGCCAGCTCAGCTTGCCTCGACCTCCATCCCTGGGTAAGGTCAAGGCCTCCTCTGGGCCTGTAGCCCCCTGATCTCCATCCCCCCTTGACCTTTTCACAAAGCTATCCCTCCAGGGGATGAGCCCGGGGGGCAGGCACTGGGCTTGGCTTTTCCGCCTCTGTGACTGCAGTGCCCAGGGCTGTGCTGGGGCCTGGGGTGAGGGGTGGAGCGGCACACTCCGCCTGCCCTCAAGGAGCTTGCAGGGCACCAGGGGAAGACCTGGGAGGTTGGCCAAGGGCTCTGAGAGAGAAGGTATCTGAGCAGCAAAGAGGGAGGGAGGGAACCAGTAGACAAACGGGAGGGTGAGGAAGTGAATGGATGAAAAAGCGAATGACAAATGGGCACATGTTCGTTGAATCCCTACGTGTGCCAGGCCCTGTTCAAGACACCTGATTCTAGTTCATAGCAGTCAACAAAACAGGCATATCCCTACCCCAACGGAGCTTACCCAGAAAATGAACAGGATATGTAACATACACAGTCACGTGCTGCGAAATGACATTCAGGTCAACAACAGACCACATACATGATCATGGTCCCATAAGATTATAATACTGTGTTTTTCCTGTGCCTTTTCTATGTTTAGATATGTTTAGATGCACAAATACTTACCACTGCGTTCCAATTGTTCCACAGTGTTCAGCACAGTAACATGCTGTCCAGGTTTGCAGCTAGGACACATAGCCTAGGTGTGTGGCAGGCTACACCATCTAGGTTGGGGTAAGCACACTCTATGATGTTGACACAGCGACGAAATCCCCCAAGGATGCGTTTCTCAGAATGTACCCCTGCGCTTAAGTGACACATGACTAAGTGCCAGATGGCAACGGTACTAGGGAGAGAGCACGGGGCGGAGGGTGTGTGCTGGGAGCGGCGGGAGGGATGAGAGCCGTGAGTCCACACAGCAAGGCTGGGAACGACCACGGAGAAGGTAGGACCGGGGCCAGGCTTACTGCAGAGAGCGTTCCAGGTGAGAGCAAAGGCAGGGGCGGGGGCTGCAGCCATGTTGGCAGGTTATGGGAACATGGCAAGACCAGTGTGCTGGAGTGACCGGGGGAGGAGTGGTGGCCAAGGGGCCGGAGGTGGTGGCGACAGATTGCATCGCAGGGCCTTGCAGGCCGTGGTGAGGACTGGGGCTTTTCCACTGCGTGATATGGGAGCCACAGGGAGATTTTGAACAGAGTGCACGTGTTTCAAAAGGCTGCCCCAGGCTACTGAGTGGACAATGGACTACAAGGGACAAGGGTGGGAACAGGGAGCCCGGTGAGGAAGCTCACACAGGACACGGGAGACAGAGGCTGGGGCCAGCGGGGAAGTCCCAGAGCAGGGGGGAAGTGGTCAGGTGCCATTCGGAAGGCAGAGCTGACAGGACTTGCTGATGGATTGCATGTGGGGGTCAGGGGTGACTCCTCTGGGGCCTAAGCAGCCAGGCCCCGAAACTGCCATGTGTAGCGATGGGGGAGGCCGACGTAGGAGCAGATCATAGCTCATTAGGACCTGTGAGTGAGTGACCACAGCATTTGCTGGCTGGGAAATGGGTCAACAGGTTTCTGGAGTGGCAGGGCTCCTGCTGGGCTTACGTAGCCCTCACCCCACCCGCTTCTGCTTGCTGGGGTAGGTCCTGAACCAGACGTCGCGCATGGAGATCCAGCTGCTGGAGACCTCCCTCTCCACCAACGAGCTGGAGAAGCAGCTGCTGCTGCAGGGCCACGAGCTCCACCGGCTGCAGGGCCACAACAGGTGGGCACTGGCGCTGGCACCAGGCCAGGAGTCCAGGTTGAGACCCAGGGCGGGCACCAGAGCCCAGGGCTGGGACTGGGGCTGGAGCCGGGGCGCGGGGGCTGGGGGAGAGCTGAACTGGGCTGGTGTCTGGGATAGGGGCGGGGGTGAGGGAGCATTTGGGGGACCAGAGCTGGAGCTGGAGCTGGGACTAGCCAGGGCTGGGGAATGACTGAAACCAGGGCTGGAGTCCAGACGGAGGCTGGGCTGGGGGCCAGGCCAGGACTGGGTGGGGACAGGGATGGGCATTTTTCTGGGGCTCAGGACACCTTGATTCTTTCTTTCTCCTTCTTTCCTTCATTTATTTTGGTTTTTTTGAGACAGAGTCTCGCTCTGTCGCCCCGAGTAGAGTGCAGTGGCATATCATCATAGCTCACTGTAGCCTCCAACCCCTGGGCTCAAGCGATCCTCCTCACTCAGCCTCCTGAGTAGCTGGGACTACAGGCACATACCATGACACCCAGCTAATTTTTCTATTTTTAGTAGGGATGGGGGTCTCACTCTTGCTCAGGCTGGTCTCGAACTCCTGAGCTCAAGTGATCCTCCTGCCTTGGCCTCCCAGAGTGCTAGGATTATAGGCTGAGCCACCGTGCCCAGCCTATTTTGTAAATTTTAACAGTTTTATTGAGATGTAATTTACCCACCATACAATTTACCTGGTAAATTTTATTGGCTTTATTTATTTTTAAATAAGTAAATCTGATCTCATCCACCTGCTCCCCTTCCCAGAAGCAACCACGGCTGCCAGGCTCTTGTCTGTACTATCAGAGTCTCTGCATTTAAAAGCAAATATGGGCCGGGCGCGGTGGCTCACGCCTGTAATCCTAACACTCTGGGAGGCCGAGGCGGGCGGATTGTTTGAGCTCAGGAGTTCGAGATCAGCCTGAGCAAGAGCTAGACCTCCATCTCTACCAAAAAGAGAAAGAAATTAATTGGACGGCTAAAAAATATATAGAAAAAAAAAATTAGCCGGGCATGGTGGCGCATGCCTGTAGTCCCAGCTACTTGGGAGGCTGAGGCAGTAGGATTGCTTGAGCCCAGGAGTCTGAGGTTGCTGTGAGCTAGGCTGACGCCATGGCACTCACTCTAGCCAGGGCAACAAAGTGAGACTCTGTCTCAAAAAAAAAAAAAAAAAAGCAAATATGCATCAGGGGAACACCCTTTAAATTACAAAGAAAAAACCAGTCATGGAGTATAGATAAGTCAGAGAAATCTGACAGCTGAGGCTGATTTTATCTCTGTTTCAAGCTGAGTGGAGAACAATCTGCCAAGGTCAGGGTTCTGGTGGATGCAAAATTTACCCGCTGAACCAGCCACAGGCCTGTCCACAGGGCAAGATGTTATTGTTGCTCATATGCTGGGTCAGGATAAGGACACAGGATGGCCCAGCTCCCTTTGATCAGGGTGCAGGTAGTTAATGACAGTTTGTCCACCTTCTTGTTGCCACCTTGCCCCAAGGTTTCGGTGACAAGGACTGGGACATTTTCAATCACTAGAAATCAGTGAAGATGGAGGATGTCATCAGTAAACTCCTGGCCCGTGAAGACAGCTAGAATTCTAGAATCTGAGTGTGCCCAAATTCTCTCTTCCTGCAGCATAATTTGGAGTCTGGAGGAAATTCCTTTTGCCCTAGCTGGATTCATTTTCTTAGTCTGCAGAATGGGTCAGCACAACCGGATATATATTAATAGTAACACATCTCCCTCCCAGCCCTGCCCCTCAGTCCCCCTACCCACCCGAGCCAGAGGTAACCACTATTCCTAGTTTCTTGTGTGTCCTTCGATTCATTCAATCAACAATTATCTTCTGAGCTCTTTCCCTGTGTCAGGCACAGTTATAGAAACTGGGGATACAGAAGTGAAAAACAGACAGAAGTCCCCACCTTTTTGGAGCTGACATGCTATAAGCTGATATTCCAGGGTTTCTTATGAATATGCGAATGTACATACAGAAGGTCCCCAGCTTATAATGGTTTGACTTAAAATGTTTAAACTTTAAAACCATGCAAAAGCCATATGCATTCCATAGAAACTGTACTTCGAGTACCCATACCACCATTCTGTTTTTCTCTTTCAGTACCGTATTCAATAAATTATATGAGCTATTCAACACTTTATTATAAAATAGGCCTTGTGTGAGACGACTCTGCCCAACTGTAGGCTAATGTAAGTGTTCTCGGCCCGTTTAAGGTAGGCTAGACTAAGCGAGGACATTCCACAAGTTTGGTGTATTAAATGCATTTTTGACTTACAATATTTTCAACTTCCGATGGGTTTATCGGGACGTAACCCCATTGTAACTCAAGGAGCATCTGTACTTTCCCTTCTTTATCCTTTTTAAGCCCAAATATAGCTTACCTCATTGTTTTCATGTTTTGTTTTTTCCCAGTTATCTGGGAAATGATCACAGTACTGTCTGACCTGCTCGCCCATTCTCTTCCCCAACTTCACGATACTCTGCTGCACAGCTGTTCCTGCTTTCCTTTCCCCAGTCCCCAATTAATGGGGATCCAGGCTGCTTCCAGGCTTTAATCCTATCAGTGACACAGTGAATAACATATCTTGTTTCACACACACATGAGTAAATAGGATAAAATGCCAGAAAGGGAAGACCTGAGTCAAAAGCTTTCTTTGCAAAACTCTCCGTTGCTTTTAAATCCATTACGAAAATGTCTCATGCTTATTATAGTATCAGCAAGCAACACAGACATGTGTAAAATAAAAGTGAAACTTGGTCCTCTCCACCCAGTCCCCATCTTCCTCCTCCACTCAAAAC